GACTGACCTAGGGTGAATTTTAAATAGGGATAATTTTTTAATGATTTTAATAATGTCACAGACTATAAATATTTGGTTTTTAATTGGCTTTTATAGGGGAAATGTTGTGTTGAGTTGTTTGTGTTGTGTTATTTTAATATGCTGTGAGCCGCCCTGAGTCCCGTGGGGAGAAGGGCGGCATATAAATTATGAAAATAAAATAAAAATAAACAAAACCAAGGTTTGTTTTTATATTTGTTAAGGGGTTTGTCTTCTGGCTTGTTTTGGACAGGCAGTTTACGACATACTATGGTGAGCTTTCTCAACCAAGGTATGAGCTGATTATTGGCCTCACGTATTCACTATAGCCACCTTTATTGACTAGTGTATCATGTGAATCGATCCAACGTGTCTTACTCAGACATATACAGTTAAGGTAGATATTTTTTGCCAATAATTTTGGAAAAATTCTGATCTGGTCTCTGCCTGGAATTGACAAGGGAAAGAATAATGCAGGCATGTCAAACTCGCAACGTCACATGACGTCGCATGACGTATTGTGACTTTTTCCTCATTGCCGGCAATGGTGTGGGCGTGGTTTCAGCATGACGCATTTGGCCCGCGGGCCGGCAGTTTGACATGCCTGGAATAATGGAAAGGATGCCAAAATTTGAGAGGTTACATTGTGTATTTATTTATTTATTTATTTATTGAATTTATATACCGCCCTATCTCCCTTACAGGACTCAGGGCGGTGAACAGGCGATAATAAAAACCACAATAAATATACACTAATTACTGTTCTAAAATCAAATTAAATAACAGGCCTGCTCTAAAAATACCCCATGCACAACCCCCACTAAAACATAATCAAACTACGCCAGGCCGGCCGCACGGAATAGATGGGCCTTCAGGGCTCGGCGAAAAAGGCGCAGGTCCGCAACTATACGTAGGTTGGGGGGTAGGTCATTCCAGAGGGCAGGAGCTGCCACAGAGAAGGCTCTCCCCCTGGGGGTCGCCAGCCGGCATTGTCTGGCCGACGGCACCCTAAGGAGGCCCTCTCTGTGGGAGCGGACTGGTCGAAGGGAGGTGTTTGGTAGGAGGCGGTCTTGCAAATACCTAGGTCCATTGCCACGGAGCGCTTTNCGGAGCGCTTTAAAGGTTGTTACTAACACCTTGAAGCGCACCCGGAAGGCCACAGGCAGCCAGTGCAGCTCGCGCAGGAGAGGTGTTACATGGGAGTATCTAGAGGCCCCCAGGATCCCCCGCGCGGCCGCATTCTGAACTAGCTGGAGCCTCCAGGTGCACCTCAAGGGGAGCCCCATGTAGAGAGCGTTGCAATAGTAGACTTTGATTATAACTTTAGGTAAATTCCTGCTATGTAAGAAGTTGTTTCTAATTATTACGGTAATACCCAATGATGGGAAATTTGCAATATTCCAATAAAAACTTAGGAATTCAGAATTGTAAAAGCTCACAGAATTTAAGGAGAACTGCACATAATATGCAGCGTTCATCTTTTTGATCTTTTATTTAATTTTAATATTATTTATCTTTTGTCCTGGCTTTTCAGATTTAGTGTAGCAACCTTAGACTTAATGACATTCCAAGTTTACTTATGGTTGACTTATGATTGCATGTAATATTTTCTGTAATATTGCAAGCTCAAAAATAATATATATATATATTAAAATATATGTTTCCCTAAAAGAAAGATCATCTTTGAGGCCCGAAAGCATGCATTTCTTGTTTGTCATATAACAGCAGTATTAGAATGCCACTGATGCTTTGGGAGGTATGTAGCAGTACAGGTAGTCCTTCCTTATTGAGTGCCTCATTCTGTGACCATTTGAAGTTACAATAGTGCTGAAAAAAATAGCTTTACAACCAATACTGCATTTATCACCTTTGCAGTATCCCTATGTCTTGTGATTTGCCATCATAGTCAGTCTACATTGTGCTGATACCAACAGCAGGAAAGATACCAATGTTGCTGATACCAACATTCCCTGGAAAGAGCCTAGGATATTCCCATTGCATGCCTGCTTACTCTCTTGTAATCCCTTCCTCTGTAATCTCACTACTCTGTAAGGTGGGGGAGTGAAATAAAAAAATAAGCAATTTCTGTAGGCAATCTCTGGAGAGCTCTCATTTTATATGCCAGTTGTTACTCTCCCAGTCCTCTACTAAAAGTATACACTTAACCTTTGAATTGGCTCTCTATTGACAATATGGAAAGATCTATCAATTTGATTCCATGTGCACAAGCTTTAATAAATGATTTGAAAGCAAAGTCATTTTTACATATCTTTTTGCAATTGTCTTTTGTGGTGTGTTTTGTTTTCTGCTTTTGTTCATGTTTTGGTTGGGGGCTTATTTTTATGTCTTGTAAGGAGTTTTCATAAAAGGTAACTGTTATTACTAGTTTCTCCTTGGAACTCCTTTATATGCTTCCCAAATAGCATGTAAAAAAATCAGGAAACCCCAAAGAACACAGTAGAGCAAGGATATACAACTTTTGTCTGGCCTGTTTACTGTGTTGAGAAGGAGCAGCCCTAAGTTTTTGATAACTGGTTATTTTGCACCTACATTAACTGTAAATCTTTTAACAAAAGAAACTGTTCTTTTCTTTTATGTATATTGGTATTTGGATTGATTTTTAAAACAACTTATGTCTAAATATTTATTGTATTTTATCTTCCCATCCATTCAGTTCGGATTATAGATGTCTCAAATGGAAAATATGACCTGACAGAAAGTTGTTTAGAGGAGACAGGTGGTCTAGGAATGGATATCATCATTGATGCAGGAGGTCTGTAATTATTCCAGGATGATTCTACCTAGAGAAGCACATTTTTAGTACAATATATAGCCTACGGTTAAAATTATATAAACTATATTAGAATTTGCCATTTAATAAAGCCATAGAAAGAAACTTAGGATCCACCCTAATTGATCAGATGGTTAAAAGTGGTGGCAGGAAGTTTGCACCTTCAGACTTGCAAGATTCTGTTAATGCAGCCTTACAGTAAAGTAGATTGAGCTCATCCGGTCATGTTTCCTTCTGGTTTACCTAGGAAGGCTGACAGTTTCCGCAAAAAGGAGCTTTCGGGTAGGCGCTCATCTAGCATAAGGATGACATGTAGTTTGAAGTTAGATATGGTCTGGATGAAACTTCAGTGTTGAAACCTTGTCTTGCCATCTGATGCGTAATATCCAGCAAAAACAAAGAGTCTACAAACAGCCATTTTAGTGGTTAAAGCACCAGCTATAGGACATGACCAGGCTGAGCCCAGTGCAGGGTCAAACACATCATCAGGTTGGAGTCTCTGTGCGCCTGTAAAAGACCTAAGTCCAGCCCCCCCTCACTTGAAGTCCATTGACTCTTTATCTGGTGCCAATTCCTTGACCATTAGTAGATCAGATTCTTGTGTATAGGTAGCATGAAATAAACTCACGGTGCTTTTGAACTCTTATCCTGACTCCCAATTTCTTGTGCCTGACACCAGCCTATAAACCAGGAGATTTGGAGTTCTAGAGCTGCTTTAGCCATGAAAGCCATCTCGGAGACTTTGGGCCAGTTATTCTCTCTCAGCCAACCCATCTTACACAAATGTTGTTCCCTACATCGATGTGGGGAAAATAGGAGAAGAAAAGAATATGTATGTTTGTCATGTTCAGTTACTTATAATAATAATAAAAGGATTAAAAAAATAGAAATCCTTTGGAAATAGTTGAGTTGTTTTGCATGCCTTCAATACACAGTTCACATTCATGGGCATACAGAAGGATAATAAGTACCACGGCTCTATAAATCTTCAGTTTTGTTACTGAGCTGATTCCTCAATGTTCCCATATAGTAGAGCACAATCTTCTGAAAGCAGAATTTGTCTTTGCTATTCTGCAGCTACTCTAGCAATAGTCATAGTTCAGGAAAGGGTACTGCCAAGATAATTAAACCAGTTCACTCCTGTACTTTTTGCCATTTGGCTGTGATATTTTCTTATAAGCAATAAAAAAGCACAAGGTCTTTCTTGGAAAACAATATTAAAAAGTAGTGCATTTGTACCAGTGGCACTTCAGAGCACTTTATATACTAACAGCATAGATTGAAATGCTTATAGAGTATATATTTCAAGCTATGAATACTTATTCATCTACCAGTTTTCAAGTCATTGGGAACAGTATACTTTTTATGTAGCAAAATTATATATATATATATATATATATATACTTCTAATCTTACACGGGAGAAAACCCGAATGACCAAAGACTCACATATAAACACCCGTGAAAACCTCAAAAAAACAAATATATATATATATATATATATATATATATATATATATATATATATATATATATATATATATATATATATATATATACACACACATACATACAGTGTATAATCAGTACAAAGAAAAACTGTATCCTAAAAAAATATGAATTTATTGATATGCACATCTTTTCAGTTCTTTCTCATCTTCCATTTTTAGAAAGTGTTTTTAATTTATTTTTAGTGAGACTGCATAATAAAGACAGTGAAACAACTTCACAACAATTGCTACCCCACAAGCATGACATCATTACATTACTCAGTGCTGGAAGCCACTGGATTACAACTGAAAAAAATCTTCAGGTAAGAAGAAACTTCTAAAACAATTATAGTTAGACCAGCTTTTCCTGGTCTGATATTTTCCAACTGCATTGGACTTTAATTTCCATAAAATCCCAGATGATACAGAAGTTGAAATTCTAATATACTGTATCTGGAAGGCATTATATGTCATCCTAGTCTTATATTTTTGGAATAAATAATAATATAGATGTTAAAAATGATATTCTCTCTTAGCAAAAACTTCGTTAACCATCAACTAATGTTCTTTGTTTATGCTATTTTTATTCCAAGTAATGTAGCTTCACTATTTTTCCCTTTTTTAAAGTTGGATCCTCCAGATTGTCGATATCTTTTCCTGAAAGGTGCTTCAGTTTCTTTTCTGAATGATGAAATTTGGAATTTGTCAAGTATGCAACAAGGAAAATATCTATATATCCTTTCTATTATATCATTTTATTGTATTTATGTATCATAGTATCTATATATCATATTTTGTATTGATTGTGAGGTTAATGTCCATGTTTAGCTGGCAGAGACGGCTGCAGGAAAACATCTCTTGTGTCTTATAACATGACATTTCTTTGTTGATGGGATCCAGAGCATGCAGCGTTTGCCAAATATTACTGGCCAGACAGGAAGAATAAGAGAGAAGTGGTCCCTTAAGTATCTATCCTCTAAGACACAAAGGCCTTTAAGGGTGGGAGTAAAAAAAATTGAATTGCAATGCTTGACTTATGACCATTCATTTAACAACGGTTTAAAGTTATGGCAGCCTTGGAAAAATTGGCCTACAACTCATCCTCAAAGTTACGAATGTTGCACCATCCTCCAAGTCATGTAATCAGGTATTTGGGCATTTGGCAATTTGTTTGCACTTACAACAGTTGCAGCATCTTGAGGTCAGGTGATAGCAATTTGAAACCTTCCCAACTGGCTTCTGAAAAACAAATTAAGGAAGTTGGAATTGCTTAATGACTGTTGTGATTCACTAAGCGATCATATGATTCTCTTAACTACCAAAATAAAAATGGTTGTAAAATCAAATCCCATTTCATGATGACTTGCTTAATGACTACATTACTTAGCAACCAAAATTCCAGTCCCAGTTGTGATCATAAGACAAGGACTACCTGTAGTGCAACATAAATAGTATTATTCACACTGATGTTTTCAATTTTAATAATTTTACCTATTTAATTATTTGTGAAATATTTATACATTACAGTGCCAAGCAAAATGGTCAGGCAAATATTATGTATGAGTTTTTTTAACATCTTCAAAGTGCTTATTGTTTTCATAGCTACTGTTGAAACACATAATATATAGAATCAGACCAAGTGTTTTTTACTTGATCACAAACATAAATATTTTCCTTATTTTCTTTTCAATTGTTCCATCATTCCCACCGTATTTTAAACCATTTAACATACAGTAGAAAAACTAAATACTATGACATTTCATTTAATTATAATTGTATTTTCTTTCATTTTTCACTGAAAAGTCTTTACAGTAGGAAGGGATTTATTTTGAGTCATTCCTTAACTGTGTGTAGAGACCTTATTTATTATGAAACAGTATAAACTAATGCAGTGCTTCCCAAACTTGGGTAAATTACTCAAGGAGTAGTTTTTCTTTGGGTAACAACACATGAACTATTGCCCAGTTAGAACAGGGATATTAAATTGACTTATGTGCATTGGATAAAAAGCACTGTCTGGTAAGCAGTTTTGGAAAGCTTTGGGAAGCATTGGACTAGTGGGTTCCCCCAAGTTTAGGAATACATGTTCAGTGAAAGCATATAAATGCACGTTAGAAATAAAACAATTGCTTTCTCTCTCTGCTCCATCTCCCTGAAAGCCTTGTTGCTCACTGAATGCTAGTGCAGGTACTCCTCAACTTACAACCACAACTGGAATAGGAATCTCAGTGTTGAGCAAAGTGGTCATTAAGTGAGATAGTCATGTGACTGCTTTGTTCAACAACTGCAATCATAGCTGTCCCAATTGCAGTTTGTTAAGCAGATGGCACAGGTTGTTAAGCAGATGGCACAACGGAGCTTCCTATTGAAGAAAGGCAGGCAGCTCCCCTCTGTGCACAGAAGGGAACTCAAATAGATTGCATGAATGGAGCTTGGATCTTCAGGATCTAATGAAGGGATCACTTTCATTGGGCTAGAGAAATGGACCTTGGATCCTGAAGATCTGAGTTTCGCTTCTGCAGCCCAACAAAGGATTTTCCTTACCTGTGTCCATGGAGGGGAGGAGAAATCCATCGGCTGGTGGCAGCAGTTTATACTTTGTCTTTCTGGGGGAAGCTGGCAGAGAAGATTACAAATGGCAACCACATGGTCACAGGATACTTGGCAACTGTTTGTAAGCACAAGCAAACTGCCAATCACAAATCTCAATAATAGGGGGGGGGGGCTAGTGTGATGTTTTACGGTGGCCAGAAATGCTTTATGGATCTTTGTAACTTTGAACGGTCATTAAATGACCACTCATCAGTTGAGGACTACCTGTATTTCAAAGAAAAAAGGTTCCTCCTCAATTGTTCTTCGATAGGTTAATTTGTGCCCTTGTTTTTCTGACATGTGTTTGATTTAAGGTTATTGTGAGAGTACAGTTTGTCAGTTTGATATTATGAATCGCATTTCTGCTTTAAACCCAGATCTTGGCACAGCTCTACTATCTTATATATTGTTTCACTTGACTATTCTCTTCTATACGCATTTTGGAAGATGTAATGGAGAAGTTATCAAGTGGAGTTTTCAAGTAAGGATAAATTGGTGTTTGAACTATTTAAGTATTCAATCAACTAACCTCTTTAAAAACATGAGAAAATGATACTTAAAAGCTTTAGCTCCAATTAGCTCTTGAGATCCTAGATATTCTAGATCAGAGCTGCAAAACACATAAAGGGGGAAGGGCCACATTGATAATTTAAAAATCTTTGTGGGCCACAAAGAAATACTTGGAGTGCCGATGAGATCTTTTGCAACTAGTGGAGCAGCAAAAGTGCTGGAATTGGCAAGGAAGTTTGGAGATGCTCAGAAACATTCTTTTTGGGAGGAAATTCCTGGAAATGTACTACTATTTAAAAAACAGGCTGCACAAGGCTACTTGGCATGTCCCACGTTGTGCAGGCTATTCTGGTCTTATTTCTTTTCCTAATTACTGAAATTAGGAAGTTGCCAGAAATCATCCATGTATATTTTTCCCTTAGGACAAACTGCATATGAGAAGTAAACCCATTTAGGATGGATTACTTATGCATTCTCTGGGAAATCGCCTTTCAATATGTTGTATTTGTTCACATCCATGTGCACATTCATAGATCTTCCTCCCACCAATATTATTTTAATAATTTAATGTTATGTATTATTTATTGATACTTTGAGAGGGTCTTAATATCTGTAAGCTGCCTAAAGATTGCTAGGGAGTGAAGTAATGAATAAAGCAAATAACTAAATGTGGTACATTTATAATTTTTGTTTTTGTTCTCAGGCCTCATCTGGATAAACCTGTACCTTTATATGAAGCTAAAGTTTCTATGGAAATAATTCAGAAGGATCAAGCAAAAAAAAAGCTAGTTGTCCAGCTATGAAGTTTCTAAGGCAACTTGAACTGTAAAAAGTGAAGTTAAATGTATTCTGCATAGTTGTTAAATATTTATCAATTGTTTTCAGCCAATGCTCTGTTTTAATTATTATTGAAAATTATTACAGAATAACAGTTTGAACTCTTCTATCACATCTGAAACAGTTCTTAATAACTATAGGTTAACTCCCTTATAACCTTAGATATAATTCATGTGTCTAAAAACCATAGGACTTACCTTTGACTATTGTGTACTGCTTTCTTTTATTTGGCTTTTTTACTTTGAGGGGAGGGGGGTAACTGCATGCTCATTCCGATGGAGATTCCTATTATTGTTCTATAATGTCACAGAAAATTACATGTTTGATCCAAGTTTATACAAAGCATGAAATCAGGACAAATTTATAATGATCTAAGTAACGGCCAGGATTTTTTTTAAAAAGATTTCTTAGTTTTGGTTTGGCTGAGTGTTTTCTTTAATGTTCCATCAGTAATATGTAAATGGGAAACTATGAGCAACATGTTGTAACTTTGTAATTTTCCCTTTTAAAAATGTCCCTACATTTTGTTTCTATCTTTATTAGAATTGTCACATAAACTTCAATGTCGTGCTCATTTACAAAGAGCACGACATATTGAAATAAACCTGAGTAAAGTTATAATCTTGGAAAAGCATTTCACAATACAATAAAGAGATGTCCCCAGTTCAGATTTAAAGAATTGGATGTATTATTTGTCTTCCCTGTTTTCAACTATCTACTTTTAAAGTTCGGTTCTTTAGAATTTGGGAGTATAAACCTGCATTTGTTTATGCAGAAGTACAATACTTATCCCCAAAGTGCATATAGAATTTCAGAATGTCTAATGTTTTTAAACTGCAATGTTTTATTTGATGTCTGATCACACTTAAAATATATAATTTTGGAATAATCAGGACTATTGCACCAAATAAAGAAGAAACCTGTAACTTAAATATATGTTTATTTCTGCATATGCTATAACAGACCTGTGCAATTTTATTAGTTGGGTTAATTGCATATTAATTGTTTATTCAATGGTCAAAAATTCCATTAAATTATTTATGTAAAAGATTTATACTGCTGCCCATCTTATGAAATTCTGAACGGCTCACAAATCTAGGAGTTGAAGTCCACACATTTTTAAAAGTGCCCGAGATTGAGAAACACTGCATTCAGGAATCATGGATGATAAAGCTGTATTTCTACCGTACTATTAATAATAATGATAAAGTTGGAAGGGACCTTGCAGGTCATCTAGTCCAACCTCCTGCTCAGGCAGGAAACCCTATACCATTTCGGACAAATGGCTGTCCAGTTTCTTCTTAAAAACTTCCAGTGTTGGAGCATTCACCGCTTCTGGAGGTAGGTTGTTCCACTGGTTAATTGTTCTAACTGTCAGGAAGTTTCTCCTTAGTTCTAGGTTGCTTCTCTCCTTGATCAGTTTCCACCTGTTGCTTCTCGTCCTGCCTTCAGGCGCCTTGGAAAATAGCTTGACTCCCTCTTCTTTGTGGCAACCCCTGAGATATTGGAACACTGCTATCATGTCCCCCCTCGTCCTTCTCTTCATTAAACTAGACATACCCAATTCCAGCAGCCGTTCCTTATATGTTTTAGCCTCCAGTCCCCTAATCATCTTTGTTGCTCTTGTCTGTACTCTTTGTAGAGCAGGGGTAGGCAACCTTGGCTCTTTTATGACTCGTGGACTTCAACTCCCAGAATTCCCGAGCCAGCCATGCTGAGGGGAAAGGGAGAGATTTCCATGCTGAGCCATGCTGGCTCAGGGATTCTGGGAGTTGAAGTCCCCGAGTCATAAAAGAGCCAAGGTTGCCTACCCCTGCTCTAGAGCCTCAACATCTTTTTTACTAGATCGACGAGGAAAATTCAATTCTCACCTTTCTGATACTAATAACTGGTAGACGGCTGAAATGGATCTAGATTCACAATCTAGATTCTAAGCCTTCGTCTTTTGCCCTGACTGTTTAATAGTGGATCTTGTGATTAAAAAAATCAAATTTTCAAAAGCGAAAAGGAACCCGTAAGCCTCCAGATAGTCTCTTCTTTCCCCTGACGAGCGGAGCTCCGTCGACTACCCGGGCTCTTCGCTTAGCGCAGGGGTAGGCAACCTTGGCTCTTTTATGACTGATGGACTTCAACTCCCAGAATTCCTGGCTCAGGAATTCTGGGAGTTGAAGTCCATCAGTCATAAAAGAGCCAAGGTTGCCTACCTCTGGCTTAGCGGGAAAGGAGGCCTTCGCCCTGCGTTGGGGAAAGGGGTGGCGATTCCCGCGAAGGAGCTCAGTTCGGATTGGTTTGTCTTTTCCGCGGGCGAACGAAAGGAACCCGCCCAGCTGCTAGGCGGGGCTTTCTAGTTAAGCGCGGAATTCTGCTCGGTGTAGTAGTGTCTCCCTTCCAGCCGCCTCCACCGACCGAGCGGCATGTGTTCCGTGGTGCCCGATTATTCTCCGGGCTTTAAGAAGCCGCCGGAGATTTTGCGCTTGAAGAGGAAGAGGTTTCGGCGAAGCGAAACGGCCGCGCTCTCCGGAGAGGTTGCGTCC